AAATACTAATTACAACCCATCACCACACACATGTGCCGAATTATCCCTTTCGCCCTACTCCCTCCCCCCTCCCCTCTGGTAACCACCAATCCAATCTCAGTCAATGCCTCATTTTTTAAAAACATGTTAATTCAGGTATTGTAAGCTAACAAATAAGTATGTCAGGGGAAACGTTTCATAAAACATTCCATTTTTAATTGTGTCATTTTACAACGGCATTTTATAGGTCTTTGGCAGTAGCACATACTGATTGTTATATGGAAAAACATAACTTAAAACTCAATTTTTTGTGTGTGTGTGTGAGATCAGCCCTGAGCTAACATTTGCCAATCCTCCTCTTTTTGCTGAGGAAGACTGGCCCTGGGCTGACATCCTTGCCCATTTTCCTCCGCTTTATATGGGATGCCGCCACAGCACGGCTTGACAAGCAGTGCATCTGTACGCGCCCGGGATCCGAACCGGTGAACCCCGGGCCGCCGCAGCAGAGCGCGTGCACTTAACCGCTTGCGCCACCCGGCCGGCCCCTCAATTTTTTTAAAGTTTACAATAATAGTCATTTTTATAACTTCACTAATTATGAATAAGGAATATAAGTAATTACACTGAGAGGTGGCCACTACTAAATTCTTAAACCAGGTACTCTTTCATTCCATTTATTCTACATTCTAAAAAATAACACAAACTATGGTTTTAAACGTACAATTAACATTTAAAACCTACACTCTAAATAAAGAATTTAATAATAATAATGTTTTATACATTTGTATGAAGCATTACCAAATCTAGCCTTGGAAAAGTCTATCTTGGGCATCATTCTATGAAACAAAATTTATATACACAAGTATTAAACTGTTAAGTTTTTATATCACAATTTAACCTATGGACCAAAGAAAGGACCACTGACCTGAAAAATCAATGTAACTCAATCTATCACAGCTAAATGTGACAAGGTACTAAATAGAAGTCTTTTTTTTTTTTTAAAGATTTTATTTATTTATTTATTTTCCCCCCAAAGCCCCAGTAGATAGTTGTATGTCATAGCTGCACATGCTTCTAGTTGCTGTATGTGGGACACGGCCTCAGCATGGCCGGAGAAGTGGTGCGTCGGTGCACGCCCGGGATCCGAACCGGGGCCGCCAGCAGCGGAACGCGCGAGCTTAACCGCTAAGCCACGGGGCTGGCCCCTAAATAGAAATCTTAATTGATAATTACAGCATTCAAATATTTCAAAGTGGATTTAGGTTTTTCAAAATGATGACAATTCCATATGAGTTACTTAAAACATTAGGATTAAAACCAATATTAATAATTTTGGAATTCTCATTTCTCTAAAAGACGTTTTAGTTTACATTTTAAATACAAATTAGTATGTCTAATCACTAATATATTGGTAAAACATACTTTTGATCATCTTTATCACATTCATTCAATATCGTTCCCTAATTAATATACTCAATCACCTTACTTTAGCAATAACGTAAGCATCAGGCTCTTCAGCATATAAATTTCTAATAATTTAGAGTTTAGTAGAGGCACGTTTATAAATATTTTAAAATTCCAAAAATAAAACAAAACTAGATACCTCACAGTTTTTCCAAAGTTCCGAATCAGTCTTTCCACTGTTTTGTAGCTCTTGCATTAAACAGGTTAGGACTTCAACTGTACCTTGAATTACAGATGGTCTGGTCTTCCCTGAGAAAGAGGATACGCCATTTGTACTAAGGTGGGGACTACTTCTGTTGAAACATAAATAATTCAAACGGTTTTCTTCATTCTACCAAAGTGTTGAATAATTCAGTTCAAGATTTAGCAGAGCAGTACAAAACCACTGATATTTAATCCTTCTTAATGGCACCTCATTTGTTGAAAATCTGATCACAAGTTTGTCCAAGAAAAGAAAATAGCAGTAAAAAGACAGACAGCATTTATCTTCTTAAAAATACAACAAAAAGACTTTCTTCAAAAGTGAGAGAACCAGTAGAATATAAAAATTTCTGCTGAACAATTAGAAAAATTTCAAGCTTCTCCAGTCTAAATTATTCCAGAGGATTATTTCACTCCATTTAAAGAACAGCCCTTTATTGTAATAGAGATTCTTCCTCCACTACCCAGAATTAGTCAAGCCTTGTTAATTGGATCCCCCTAATTTGGTGTGATAAACTGATGCTTATCTTTGCACTACCTTTGTTTTTGTTTTTTTTTTTTTATTTATTTTTCCCTCAAAGCCCCAGTAGATAGTTGTATGTCATAGCTGCACATCCTTCTAGTTGCTGCATGTGGGACGCGGCCTCAGCACGGCCAGAGAAGCAGTGTGTTGGTGCGCGCCCGGGATCCAACCCGGACCACCAGTAGCGGAGTGAGCGCACTTATTAAGCTAAGCCACGGGGCCAGCCCTGCACTACCTTTGAATAAAAGTTGTGCGGAGCAAATTAGCAGCAAATATTCAGGACTTATTTAGCCTATTCAGTGTGTAAAATAGCATTGATTCTTTCCAGGAGGACTGCTTTTCCAAATTTGAGATGAGTTTATTTCAGATTTGTTTTATAAAAACACAAAGCATAATTAAGGACATTAAAATGTATTTAAATTCTAATCACTGAAAGGTCATTTTCATTTATTTATTGATACTCTGCTTTGTTTCACAAAGAATTTGTAAAAAAAAGAGGACGCTAATGAAAATAGTAAAATAATAAGAGAGAAAACATTAATAAAAATTCAAGGGAAAGAATATAGTATGTTGTCCTATCGGGTTTATATAGTTGTGTAATAAGTTTAAATGTGGCCAATTTAACTGCCAGTCACAATGAAAAGGGAGACAAGTTCAGTTACATAACTTTCATTAGTAAGGCACATTTAGGCTCCTCCAAGCAAATCAAACCCTATGTTCTAAAAGGGATTTCGGGCCGGCCCCGTGGCTTAGCGGTTAAGTGCGCGCGCTCCGCTACTGGCAGCCCGGGTTCGGATCCCGGGCGCGCACTGACGCACCGCTTCTCTGGCCATGCTGAGGCCACGTCCCACATACAGCAACTAGAAGGATGTGCAACTATGACATACAACTATCTACTGGGGCTTTGGGGAAAAAAGGAGGAGGACTGGCAATAGATGTTAGCTCAGAGCCAGTCTTCCTCAGCAAAAAGAGGAGGATTAGCATGGATGTTAGCTCAGGGCTGATCTTCCTCACAAAATAAATAAATAAAACTGTTTTTTAAAAAAAAAAAAAAAGGGATTTCTTCCAGAAGTGGGCTTCAAAGGGGCCACCAAATGATACAGGAAACAAAAAGTGTCGCCAACTTGCAGCAAGTGGGTTTAGATTGGGACGGCAGACATCTCTTCTGGGCCCTTTCCCACATTTTTTTTTTTTTTACACTTTTTTTTTCCCCTTTCACTCTAATTTATGCTTTCTTCGATTTTATACTTTCTTGTAGGCGGCCTTAAATTTTTCCCGAGGAGGGCAGAGAATGAACACATTTTTAAAGGAATTTATTTAGTTATTTATAATAACACAATTTCTTCAAGACCTATTGTGTTAAAGATATTTGCTCTTTACCAGTAGCCCCAGACTGCTGTGTTTTTATTTTATTGGACCTGCTTTTTATAGTTGATCTCCTCTCTCATGGTCCCAGCCTCTTTCCTGTTTTTAAGATACCATAAATTTAGAAACCAAATAATCGAGCTTCTCAGACTATGTAGAAAATGAGCGTAAACTGCCTCTGATTAAAAACAAACCAAACATGGGATAGTTTAAAAAGAAAATGCAGGGCTGGCCCCGTGGCTTAGCGGTTAAGTGCACGCGCTCCGCTACCGGCGGCCCGGGGTTCGGATCCCGGGTGCGCACCAACGCACCGCTTCTCCAGCCATGCTAAGGCCGTGTCCCACATACAGCAACTAGAAGGGTGTGCAACTATGACATACAACCATCTACTGGGGCTTTGGGGGGAACAAAAAAAAGGAGGAAGATTGGCAATAGATGTTAGCTCAGAGCCGGTCTTCCTCAGCAAAAAGAGGAGGATTAGCATGGATGTTAGCTCAGGGCTGATCTTCCTCACAAAAAAAAAAAAAAGAAAGAAAATGCATTGTTTGACAGCATCTATTTTGTCAACTCAGTGTCTGTTTTTTTGCTTACTTCCTAGTATTCAACTTTAATTGCTACTTCCCAGATTGGTGAGGTATTTCTGCAATATTAAACATTATTTGTCTTGTTTTTTTTGTGTGTGAGGAAGATCGGCCCTGAGCTAACTTCCGATGCCTAATCCTCCTCTTTTTTGCTGAGGAAGACTGGCCCCGGGCTAACACCCGTGCCCATCCTCCTCTACTTTATATGGGACGCCGCCACAGCATGGCTTGACAAGCGGTGTGTCGGTTTGTGCCCGGGATCCGAACCTCCAAACCCCGGGCCATGGAAGCGATGCACGAGAATTAACCGCTACGCTACCAGGCCGGCCACTACTTGCCTTCTTAATTTAAAAATGTAGAAACAATATTTAGGCAACTAAATTTTAAAGATATATTTGTAATTTACCAAAAACAAAAAAAGTGTAAAGAACACTACAACTAGCAAAACAAGCTCTCTTTCACAATGTTCCCCACGCAAAAGTACTCATCTCTGGGAGAAACGAAAATCATGGAAGGACTAAAACTATTCTTAATAACTGTCCCTAAACAGTTCCTGATCATAGGTTTTTTTTTTATGCAAATCAGTAACTATGACACTATTTGGATAAATTGGTAAACTATGCAAATAAAGCTATTTTGCTTTGTTGTTACATTTAAAAAAAATCTATCTATCTCATTCTTACCTATTAGTATTTAAGTTCAGTCCAAGAGAATGGGGAGAATTTTTTATATCAGATTCTACAGAAGATGAAGTTTTTTGTAAGGATTTCACCAAGTCAAAATCTTCCATAGTGTACAGAAATTGTTATACTCTCTTACTGGAAAATGTAGGTTTTTTCACTGTTTGAAGAAATTGAATCCGAGTCATCTTCAGATGCTTCATCATCTACAGGCATTTTCAGTTGCTAACATTCTGAACTGTGAAATATCCTAAGCTCCCAAGAGTCTGAAAATGAACGAGGAAAAAAGTACTACTATAAAAAGCCTCTAAACCTAGCAACTGTCTTTTCATTACTTTGGAAACCTTGATCATTTCACACAAATCTACATTAAGGATAGCACATTATTCATAATAGCCAAAATGCAGAAACAACCCAAATGTCCATCAACTGATGAATGGATAAACAAATGTGGTGTATCCATATAATGGAATATTTTTCAGCCATAAAAAGGAATGAAGTAGTGATATATACTACAATGTGGATGAACATTGAAAACATTATGCTAAGTAAAAGAAGCTCAATAAAAGACCATGTGTTATATGACTGCATTTATTCGAAATAGCTAGAATAGGCAAATCTACAGAGACAGAAAGTAGATTAACGGTTGTCAGGAGCTGGGGGAAGGAGAGAAGGGGAATAACTGAAATGGGTATGGGGTGTCTTTTTGGGGTCATGAAAAGTTCTGGAATTAGACAACAGTGTCAGTTGCACAACTCTGGATATATAAAAACAACACCGAAGTGTACACTTTAAAAGAGTGAATTTTATGGTATGTGAATTATATCTCAATAAAAAAATCTACAATAAGGGTGATTTGCAAAAGTAGCATTATCTTTTTCAGGTAATATTTCAGAATTTTATGTGTTTAATAATCAAGGTTCTAGACACAATTCTACTATGTAACAATTAGAATACTTACATGCTTTATTCATTTGTTTAATAAATTTTAGCAGGTATCCACGCTTGTTGATTTATACAGTGAATAGATGAATGGGAACTACTTAGTATTTAATTTAGTATTGAAAACAGCCAATTAAACTGTTAACAATGGTTGTTTCCCCACCGGCTGGAAGGCGGGGGGTGCAAAAAATGCCTTTTGCAGAACACAGACTTTTGTATTCTATGGGTGTATTACCTCTGTAAAAAATAAACTATTTGCCAGGTCAACTAAAATTTAACTGAAGCTAGGTGTAGAGAGGCAAATTGGCTGTAACAAGTCAAACAGGCCTCCTTCTTAGGGAATTCACGTATTTAAAAGAAAAAGCAAGGGAGCAAGGGAAAAAGAAGAAAGAAAACCTATACTGCTTACAAAATGGAAAGTTCAGGGAGTGCAATACAGGAAAATTATCTCTTATTCTGGTTCCTCCAGGTTCCCACTGCCTAGGGTCTGGTTTTACAAAGCGCAACCTTAAAAACATCGGCTCATAAAGGAACCATTTCCTTCGGGGACAGGTGTGAAAGCCAAGGGTAACCGGACCTAACTAAATGGATTTCTCCCCAGTGGCTCAGCCCGTCGTCAACGACAAACAGAGTATTGAAAGCGTCAGGGGCTGCACCTTCCAACTGGCACGAAAACACCTGGATTCAAATCACCTTGCTCTTCTACCAGGAAAACACAAGCTCTCCAAGGACGAGGATCTGCAACCCCATCTATTATTTCCCCTGCGGTAATCCGGATGCAGGAGATCCAGATGGAAAACCACCTGAAATGCAATGATGCTTCTCCAGCAGGCGGGGGCGGGGGGAGGGGACCGATACACAATGCAAAATTTAAAAAGAAACTTGATGGAGAATGGATACAAACATAGAGACATTGTTATATTTCCCAACAACAAAATATGATAGTTTGGGGCCCCCCAACCCCTAACAAAAAAGGGAATCAGAGAAAAAAGGACCGACTGAGCGAGGTCCGCTGATAATATAAAAGTTAACCAGGCGTTCTGTTCGGTTGGGAGCCTGGCAGGGAGAATGAAGAGATGATTTCAGAGGTTTTGAGGCCAGATCCTGACATTCTCGCGCTCTCAGCCAGACCTCAATTGCTGGTGGCGGCTCCCGGGTCAAAGGGGGAAGGCGAGAGAGAACCCACGCAGTCGCCTAAATTGTAGATAGCAAGAGGCTGGGCAAAAGCCACCGCTCCAACAACTACAACCGTGATACCCAAAGTGAGCGGAGGAAGCTCGTCAAAAAAAAAGAAAAGAAAAATCCCACAAGCCCCCCCGCCCCTCGGAAGAGGCGCTCTGCGATTGGGCCGCGCGGGTGTCACTCAAGGGCATCGCGTCTAGAAAAGGCGTACGGCCGCCGCCAAGCCCCCACACACCCGCGGGCTGTGGCAGGGTTTCGTCCTGTGGCCGTCGTCTCACCCCCGCCCTAGCCCATCGGCACCCTCGGGGCTCCGCTAAGACCATGTCTTCTAAATCTTGTCCCCTGTCCCCCGCGACTGGCAGCTCCCCGCAGACCGGTGGTCGCTTACCTGGCCGCCGCTCCCTCTGCCGATGTCAGGGTCAAGCCAGCGAGGCCTCTCGCGACCGTTAAAATCGAGGGAGCGTGCGCGCGCCCGGCGTCTTGCCTGCGATTGGCTGCTCAGAAGGGGGCGGAGACGGCCCGAGCTGCGGCGCGCGCGTCGACCTCCTCCTCCCTTTCCCGCAGCTCACGCTAGAGGGAGGTCCGAAGCCTGGGAAATAGGAGGCGGCGGGGCTGCTGTCAACTCCTCTCGTCTGATTGGCTCTCTGGGAACCTACAGCTGCCACGCGGGAAAGACGCTTCAGTTTCCCGCATGCGCAGTTGGTAAGAATGAGCCTCGGGCAGGTGAGGGAAGCCACGGCAGGAGTACGGCGCGTGCGCAGACCCGGCAGAGCGCTTGAGATCCAGCCCCTGCGGCGATTCCGGTTCCCCCCGAACACTGGGGGCCCGAAGCCAGTCCTGAGGCCAGGTAAGCATCTGCGAAGAAACCAGGCACCCACGCGGTTGCCCGCGACTGTCAGGGGCTCTGCAGAAAGGACTGGTACCCGGCTTGCGACCCTGAGTCGCGTAGCCAGTTGACCTGCGGCCCGGCTGGCGGTGGGGTGCAGCCAGCCCAGACACCTGAGCTAAATTCTCCCAGGACCTGGTTTAGCCCAGGCTGCTGGGGATCGGCCCTTGGGCTTTTCAGGGACGGGAGTGGGGGGAGGCGAGCCCACCGCCCTGGAGAAAACAGTTCCTCCGAGGCCCGCGGACAAGTGGAACGCGCCTCATTATGCTGTTCCGCAGAGCCTCATGGAGCTATGAGCACGCAGCAGGGGCTGTTTTAGGCTGGCACATAGTAGGTGTCACCATTGCTCTTGCCGGGCCTTTCGAAGGACCAGCGAGAACCCGCTACCCTCCCTGTGGGCCCCCAGCCCGGCTCATATGCCTTGTTCAGTCCACATTCTTCAGACTAGTTAACCTTCAAGGTACCTCCAGCTCTTAGATTTCCCTCCAAGTGTCCTGAGCCCACAGTAAAGGGACTTCGCAGGCCCTATTACTTAGATGTGCCTGAGAAGCCAGGACGAAGCCATTGCCCTTGGAATGACAAATCTGCCAGGATGCGTTCCATCTCTTCTGAGCCTCCTAAGATTACCTAACAATTATGTTTCAGCAGTAAAAAATCAACTTCTTTCCAAAACCCCATGGTGTATGGAAGATTTCAAGCTAAATAAATTGAAAGCCCCCCCCCATTGTGTTAATCCACCAGACAATACTATGCTCATGTAATACCTAACCAAAATCAAATCATTTTTGAGCACATGGCTCTGTTTTCAGTGACCATGTTTCAAGTCAACACACACAAAAAAACACTTTTATCACAAATTTTCAGATGGTCACACAATCTATTATTTGAGACACTGTAGAATCTTGCACTCACAGAAGAATTGAGAAGCATGAATTCCTGAGACAGCTCCAGGCAGAGAGAGAGGTATTTCCTTACAAGAATAATATTAACCCCAAAATCGAGTACTAGAGATTAGTTCTCTCCATGCGAGAGGCAGGAGATCATTGCTTTTGGCTACAAAATCAAATGGACTCTGTTCAGTTTTAGCGTGTTTACTTTTTTTTTTTAATCGGTATGATTTTAGGTAATTTTTTTAAAATCTATTAATATCTTAATAAGCCAACATGTTCAGGAGCTAGTATTCTAATTAACCAAGTTATCTTGTTAACCAACTGATGCAGTGAAATATTTTGGTAAGGTTGTTCACACCATATTTCTTAGGTTAGGCTTTTTGGTATAATTTAAAAAATTCAGAGTGGAAATTGCCTTTGACTAATTGGACTAGAGAGAAGCTTTATAAATAGCTAAAAAGGTAGCTTTTTAAAGTCCACAGAAATTATTTTTGAATATAGAAAACAAGTAGAAGGCTTTAGAAATTCAAGTATATATTAAGAATAATAACTTCATCTAATCTAAATCTCCCCTGCCCCATAGTGGAGATTTTGTACTACTTGAATGCAAGCCTATACCACTATTTTATGGCCTCATCTGATTTTATTATAACATCAAATTGCTCAAGTATTTCTCTTTTGCTTTGAAGGCTTCAAATTGACAGTTTTTGAGTGGAGATCTTGCACATTCATTGGAATAAGATCAGTCTATTCAGTAATAATGGCTGCTAATGGCTTGAAGCATTTTGTGTCTTAGCCAGGGTGTTACTTTGTGTCATTGATTTTTATATTCAAACAGTTTGTCATTTTGAGGGGCCAGTTCCCCACAGCAAAAAATGAAGAACTCTAAAACTTCAAATCTGTAGTTTAACTATTAAACATGGAAATGAGCAGGTGTACATATAAATATGAATTTTTTCATCTTTCTTGGCTTTCATCATTTTTCTTACTATATTAATGATTTATAAAGATCTCTATGTTTAAACCAGGACTTGCACCAATGAAGTTTTTTTTTTTTTTTTTAAGATTTTATTTATTTATTTTTTCCCCCCAAAGCCCCAGTAGATAGTTGTATGTCATAGCTGCACATCCTTCTAGTTGCTGTACGTGGGACGCGGCCTCAGCATGGCCGGAGAAGCGGTGCATCGGTGCGCGCCCAGGATCCGAACCCGGGCCGCCAGCAGCCGAGCGCACGCACTTAACCACTAAGCCATGGGGCCACCCCTGAAGGTGTTTTTTTATCTTTCAATTTGAACCTGCTGGGAAATCAAGCTGTATTCTTGGCATCATTATTATCTCTTTGGCACCTGATTTCATAGACCACAATTATGACCTCACCAAACAGCGTCTCTTTGCTAATTTCATGGCTTCCAAGTACTTCTTAAATTGGACCACAGCAAGTAAAATAATTTGCAGGTCACTGTTCTAGGTGCCTTTTCACCCTGAGCTCTAAAACAAAAGTCCATGAAATAATCAGTTTGCAGATTGGGTTTGTGAGGTAAGACCACAATTGACGTGTGTTCATCAGAGTTTCTTCAGCTTTGTAGTTTAGGGGTCCGGAGTGCTACTAAGTGCTTTACATTTGTGGTGACGTGTTCAATGTTTTTCTCACCCTACGTGGTATTACCTCCATTTTACAGATGAGGAAACGTGGCCAGAGTTGCACAGTGCATAAATCATGGAGTCGAGACACTGATGCAGGTCATGCTGACTACAAAGCAATATGGCCTTTCAGGGAGAAAAAAATGAGAGGAAGAGTCAGGAAGAGAAAGTTGAGGAAAATGAGCTAACGCTTTTTAAGGAGCTGGGGAAAGAACAGATTTAGAGATGTAATGAAAGGTAAAGAAACAGCTGTAGAAAGATTAGTTTAAAAAATGGAATTCCTAATGTGCTTCCAAGATAAGTCTTCCTAAAATAATCCACATGGTATGCATCTCTTCTTTATTGGTATCTAATACAATAATGTATTTGAAAGTGCTTTGAAAACATTTAAGCCCTAAACATACAAAGCATTATTAATGATAATAGAGGCTTTAAGACTTTTAGAAGAAAAGGTAGAGTGTTATTATTGCTGCTGTTTGTGTTTGTCTTATTTTAATAGTGTGGTTGATAAATTATAAAGTTCCTATTAGATGCTGTAAATAGAAGGAGATCACAGTGATGCGCACAAATAGGACAGGTGTAATTCTCTGTGGATTCAAAGTTTTTTGGTTAAAAAACTGAACGGGATGTTGGTGTTGTACGAATTGAAAGCTTTTTTCTTTACCTGCTTCATTAGTTGTCTCTTGAACGCTGAAGCATAACCCTATTAAATTTAGAGCAGACCCAGAGTCATCTCCTTTTCCTCTTGTCCCCCAAAATCAGGGATAACAGCTCTGCATCTCCTGCGCAATCCATTATGCTTTTCTTATTTGAGGAATAATTGTCTGCAAACACTTACTGTGGATGAGAGTTGCTTTGTCTTCAGTGTAAAACCCCGAGCCTAGGAAACGACAGGGTCTGTTTCAGGCCTCAGCCGCAGTTCCCAGTGGTTCCATTGGGGAGGTATTCCAGCCCTCACAGGATTTCAGGCACCTAGAACAGGAGGATGAGCTAGATGAGAAAGGTAGAGAAAGGCTGCTTTATTTTATTTTATTTTTATTTTTTGCTGAGGAAGATTTGCCTTGAGCTAACATCTGTTACCAATCTTCCTCTATTTTGTATGTGACTGGCTGTCACAGCATGGCCACTGATAGAAGAGTTGTATAGGTCTGCACCCAGAAACCGAACCCGGACTATTGAAGTGGAGCGTGCTGAACTTAACCACTAGGCCACCAGGGCTGGCCCAAAAGGCTACTTTATTTTAACTCCCATTCTGCAGGAAGCACCAAAACACACTTTTGAAACATGAATTATTATTAATCATTTCTCAGAAAATCATTCTCTTCTCACTTCGCTTCAGTGCCATCAGCTGGCCATTTTGTCTTTTAAAACTGCAACATCACACGTCAGTCTGTTCAAGCTCACTCTTGGGTCCTTCACCATTATTAGGTCATTGTTTAGAGACCTGTCATTTTACCTCCTTATTGGGGATGAGGAAACAAGACTGTGACTAAGCAAGTAATCAGCACTGCTGAATTCTGGTCTCAATCTTAAATACTAGAAATATAAGAAACAATAGCTTTTTTTTTTTTTTTTTTTATTTTTTTATTTATTTTTCCCCCCAAGCCCCGGTAGATAGTTGTATGTCATAGTTGCACATCCTTCTAGTTGCTGTATGGGGGACGCGGCCTCAGCATGGCCGGAGAAGCAGTGCGTCAGTATGCGCCAGGGATCCAAACCCAGGCCGCCAGCAGCGGAGCACGCGCACTTAACCACTAAGCCACAGGGCCAGCCCGAAACAACAGCTTTTACAAGTGTGTGTCCTAGCAGCTGGAAGAACTTGCTGATTCCTGTGTCCTAGTGCAGTGCTTCTCAAACTTTGGGAATGTGCCTCTGAATCACCTGAGGATCTTACTAAAAGGCAGGTTCTCACTGAGGTGGTCTGGGGTGGGGCCTGAGATTCTTCCTCCCTAACAAGCTCCCAGGTGCTGCTGTTGCTGCTGCTCTGTGGACCACACTCTGAGTAGCTAAATTCTAGATCCAGTACGGTAGCCATCGCATGTGTGGCTAGACCAAACTGAGGTGCTGTAAGTGTGAATACACCCCTGATGTTGAGGACTTCATATAAAAAAAGAAATATCTCAATAATTTGTTATATTGATCACATGTTGAAATAATAATATTTGGGATATATTGGGTTAAATAAAATATATTAACCTTTATTTCATCGGTTTCTTTTTACTATTTTTAATGTGCCTACTAGAAAATTTAGAATTTCACATGTGGCTTGCACTGTATTTCTATTGGCCAACACTGTTCTAGAACATTCATGCAATAGAAGCAACATTTTTGGTGTTCTTTTTTCAGATCACCCAGTTTCTCAATCCACTTGTAACCATTTCACCTTCACTGTTAGCTCAAATCAATGGTCATTTAATTCTTTTCTCTAAAAGTTTTCCTTTCCCACCCGTTACTGTCCTCTAACCCTCTTCGTCTCCATCATTGCCATCATGATCCTGGGGCTCTCATCCAGCAGTTGCAGCATCCAAGAGCCAGGATTCAGGCAGCACCCTTGCTCAAAGCCCTTAGCCATGACACTGAAAGCGTGGTCCCTGGACCAGCAGCAACAGCCACACCTGGGAGCTGGTTAGACATGCAGAATCTCAGGCCCCACCCCAGACCTAATGACCCGGTATCCTATTCAGTGAGATCCCCAGGGGGAAGTTTGAGTGGTGAGAGCTTTAACAAGTATCTTTCCTAAAGCACCCCATTTTGGTTAATCTCCACATCTGTTGCTTTGGTTAGTTTTGATGACGTTTCTTGAAGGTTGATATACCATGAACGTTGCAGCTAAGAAAAACTAGTACTCTCCCTTTCTAAACAACAATACTTCAACAGTGTATTTGAGGCAAATGGCATCCAGAAGGTGGGTCCAGAGATTGAAATGCTATGCTTTCACGAAAATAGATTCAGATATCCTTTCTCTCTCCCAGACACAAAGGAAAGGTGTTACATCCTCTTTACCACTCTCCAGAGCACTGGAGCTGCTGGTGACACAAGCCCCACCTTGCTGCAGCTAGTTTAAGTCTGGGATTGTTTGCTCCAGTCACGGCCCCGTTCCAAAGCTGACATTGCTGTCCCTGCAGCTAGCTGTCTGTCTCGGTTTCGGTTGATTGTGGAAGCTGGAGGAGGGAACGTGTGCCGGCTGGATCCAGGTCAGGAAGAGGGGCACCTAACAGAATGCAGGTTCCATATTCTGATAACAAGCCCTCCAGGGATTTGGGGTTGTAGTAAAGTTTGAGAACCATTGCTCTATAGCATGTTATCCATTCCGGGCTGACATGTATCACATTTATGGACGTCTTAATTTCTCTTTTATGCTACAGGTTCCTTGGGCTCCCTGAGGCCCATGCCTGGCACATAGTAGATGTTGAAAGTATTCATTGAACAAATTAACATTCCCTCTTATAAAGGGCTCAGACCTGTTATCCCTAACTTGACCTAGTGGGAAGGGACTCCGACAATGAGAGAGGCCTTAACCTAAACTGCAGTCAGCTGTTTAGTGCAGAAGCCATCATCAAAGGAAAAGCAGAGCGGAGGGGAAGTCAGGGTGGAGAGCCAGCCCTGGATTGGCTCACACTCGCAGAAGGGAATCATCAGGGAAAGCTGTCAGGACTGCTGGTTTCCCCTTACAAGCACTTCTGGTTACCATTTTTCTTTTTCTCTTTTTTAATGTCACGATGAGCTCTAACTTGAGCTGCTTTTATTGTTCCCCAAAGACTCGGGGTTGCTCTCTGGGTATCACAAAAACTGAAATCCAATCCTCGTTCTTCTCTGGGCTTTGGGGAAGTGGAACCCTAGGTGTGTTTGTCATTTGGAGCAGTCATTGGAATAGAGCCAAAGCTCCAGGAGATACGAAGAGTATTTAGAATCGTCCAATGGGCTGTTGGAATGAGGTGTTCAACAAAGCAGCCAGTAACTGAGCACTGGGGACCTTCGTGAACTCCAGTGGGGTGGGAGACCTTCCAGTGTGTGTGTCTGCCCTGAACTAGGACAGAAAGGTAGAGATTTGAAACACAGAGGCTGGGAACAACACAGCGGTGAAAGCACTCTCCTCCCCGCCCTTTGTCTGGGAGTTTTGCCTTGTCTCAGACTTGCTTCCTTTCTTTGTCACTGCGCTGTGTCCCAGTGCTGTCCTGCCTGGTCATATGTACTCACTGGCGGAAGAGAAACCCCAAGAGAGGCACTGGGCTCCTGTTCCATAATGAATCTAATCCAGGGACTAGACGCTGTCTGATACACAAAGGAATTTTTTTCTGTGGATTGAAAGCAGAAATAAGGGAAAGGAAATTTGGGACATTGACTTCATCTCATTCACTTAATCATTTGTAGGGGAGTGGATTCTTTGTTGCAGAGATTTCTGAGAAAGTACCTGGGTTTATTGCTTATCTTTTGCTAAAGATACTTCTGAAATATTTCACACACAATAAACAAAACCAATTTTTAAAGTACCACTTTCATCGGCACACTGTGTTTCAGAATGTATTCCCTCACAGCCATGGAGCACTTTACCAACAACCCCTTAATCATCACCCACTGGGACTGAGAACATACTGATTGTCAGGCTTTTCACAAAGAAGGTATGAGTTCAGACCATAATGTCAGTCACAGAACTGAAAACCAGCATTGGTGTAAGGCTTGAAAAGTATATTTCATTATATTTATTTTCCATAGAAATAATAGAGATGAAGAAGACTGTATTAGGGCCGGCTCCGTGACTTAGCGGTTAAGTGCGCGCACTCTGATGCTGGCGGCCCGGGTTCGGATCCTGGGCACGCCCCAAGGCACCACTTCTCTGTCCAACGCGAGGCCGAGTCCCACGTACAGCAACTAGAAGGATGTGAACCTATGACATACAACTATCTACTGGGGCTTTGGGGGGAAAAAAATGAATAAATAAAATCTTTAAAAAAAAAAAAAAAGAAGACTGTATTATCATCCTAAAGATGACCAGTATCGGGCCGGCCCGGTGGCGTAGCGGTTAAGTGCGCGCGCTCCACTGCGGCGGCCCGGGGTTCGGATCCCAGGCGCGCACCAACGCACCGCTTGTCAGGCCATGCTGTGGCGGCGTCCCATATAAAGTGGAGGAAGATGGGCACGGATGTTAGCCCAGGGCCAGTCTTCCTCAGCAAAAAAGAGGAGGATTGGCAGATGTTAGCTTAGGGCTGATCTTCCTCACAAAAAATAAATAAATAAATAAGGATGACCAGTATCATCTCAGTATCGGCTGTACTGGTTACTAAGATTGGACACTTACACTTAAAATAACAGAAAATGCACATATTTACAAGGAAGCATGTGTCTGCATTAAGCTTCCTTGGTGCTTCTCTAAGTTATCAGTGTGGGCTCAGTAGATGTTAGCAGTCAAAATTGACAGTGGGTGACAGGTAAAATCTGAGAGCAAACCTGGGGAGATAATTTGGTGGATGGTAAGTGACTTGTGGCTTCAGAAGTTGTCATAGGCATAGTCCAGTTCCTGCCTGTGTTAGAGACCAGTTGCCATGAGCTGGAATTTTCAAGGTTTCAAATGGTAAAAGAAGCTCTGTAGAGCCTCACAGGAAGCCGCTGTTAAAAAGGGCAGTACATGTGTTTTTAGTGCATGCATCATCCTTGATCAGGAAGCATTAAGCAAGTGGCACATTCCTAGTTCCCACAGTCCACCTGGGTGACAGGGATTTTGCTAAAAACCAGTCTCATGCCTTCAAAGGTATCAACAAAAGCCCTTTTGGGAATACTTTTTCTCTGCTCTTTAAGCCTGTGCGGGGCCGGTCCCGTGGCTTAGCGGTTAAGTGCGCGCGCTCTGGTGCTGGCGGCCTGGGTTCGGATCCCGGGCGCGCACCAACACACCACTTCTCCGGCCGTGCTGAGGCCGCGTCCCACATACAGCAACTAGAAGGATGTGCAGCTATGACATACAACTATTTACTGGGGCCTTGGGGGAAAAAATAAATAAATAAATAAAATTTAAAAAAAAAAGCCTGTGCGGGATGGGTGGAGAGGGCTTATGTACCCATTTTCCAGATGAGAAAACTTGCCCAGGTTGTGACTTGCTCCTCTTTGCATGGGACGTATGTAGATCTCTGAAAAGAGCTAACACCTTTCAGATCCTTCTGCTTCCTCCCCTCGAAAAAAGCAGAGGCCTGTGGGATTCACCATATCCTCATAGCTATGATTCTACTATTCATTTGTCAACTAAGATGGTTCAGCCTTATGCTACGTCTTGAGTAGTTATTTAAATCTATCATCGTTAAAAACCACTTTGTTTTTTAATATCTTCTCTCTCTGACTAGACTATGAGCTTCACAAAGACAGACTTGAGCTCTTTTTCACCTCATATTGCTCGCTATACCTCACATGGTGTTTTGAGCCTAACAGGCACCTGAATAAAAATCAGTTGATTTGGGAATTCTAATGATGAGTACCAGTTGGATCATGTTATTGGCAGTGCATCTGAGGGAACAGATGTTCCTATTCAAATCCATGAAACCGGAAACATTAAAAAACAACAATCATGACATTGATTGATAGTGATATTTACTATGTCAGACTGTTTAAGCTCAGCTATAACATAGACTATTGCATACTGTCGTCTTTACATTTTGATTTCAAAGATTCTCAAATGTTTAAATAATGTCACTTGACTCAGATCCTAATTCTTGCTTGATGTACTATTTAATATTTCTTTATCAAATTACAGCCCTGTTCCTTTGAATTTCACACTCAAAACCTCTCCTTCCCAAGAAAACAGTACCTCTGGGTGCTTTGAAGATATTTCTTGTCTGTTATAAGAAAATATTTATCCGTTGGCAGGGCTTGTACTGCTAAGAACACAGTAGACCATGTGAGGCTGGAGAGAGGTGTGTATTGCTGAATAACCTGTCTTCACCGATTTCAAATACCCTATGTAATAGATGGGTGGTCATTGTTTGAACTGGGTTATAAAAGGTTAGAGCCCGCAGGATAATCTTGAAAAGCAAGTGCGTCTTCCTGAAAGGCTGTCTTTTTTGTCTAATTCAGGTCCTGAACCAGCACAGTCACTCTCCATGAGCACCTCAGGTTTGTTTCGCTTTCCTACTCTGTGGACCAGAATATGCGCCGTGTCGTGGGGACTCGGGCCTTGGGAGAAGTTGACGTTGCTGTCCGCAGGAAGAGCAGTCAGTCTGGTCCAGCTGGCCGGCAAGAAGGACCGCCCTGCTCTGCTGTCCCTGGACGAGCGTGAGCTAGAAGAGCAGTTTGTGAAAGGATGGGGTCCGGGCGGCCAGGCCACCAACAAGACAAGCAACTGCGTGGTGCTGAAGCACATCCCCTCGGGCGTGGTGGTCAAGGTAGAGGAAGAAGCCTGCGGGGAGAGGCCCTGAGTCCCAGTTTCAGAGGGCTCACATGGCCACGGCCGCGGGAGATTGCTCCTGAGTGATAACGGTGGCCGGCTGCAGCCTCCTCTCATTCTGGCCTGGGGGATGGAGGGCACTGCAGATCTCGTCCCCTGCCCTGAGCCATTCCTCCCTCAGGCGGAACCTCCTGCACAGCCTCAGAAACCTTCTTCCAGGATCTCTTGGAGCCAGGCTATTGCTGCCATCCTCGAATTTGGCAGGCAGCACGGTTCCTGTAAAGCCTCTCGGCTGCAGGGTGGCTGCAGAGGGCTCTGCAGCACTGCCGAGGGCCCGGACTGTCTGCTAGCCGGCTCAGCCCCTAGTGACCTGGCTGATCAGCCAGGATGGTCACATCCTCCGTGTCCCTCTGTCACCCCTTTGGTAAATGTCAACGACACCTACCCTTGTGAGGGTGAGGTTACGGAGGCAAACCATTTTCAGCCCACAGAAGAAAGATGCCATGCACAGCTGCCTGTAGTCTTCCTTCTTCATATAAAAAACCAGTCTCTGATCAGAATATCACCAGCTTTCAGCACTTGCTGAACCTCTAGGAAATGCTGAAGTGCTTTCTCCTGTGTCCTGGTTTGGTAGTGGCCCCACTGCCTCTCAGGGGAACTGCCAGTCCATTCTGTGTGGCCAGGGCCCTAAGGCAGCACTAGCCTTGAGGTACAGTAGAGAAGAGAGAGCACAGGCAGGTTTTTCATGTACCACTGATACTAATAGCAAATATCTCACGTAACTGTGTGGCCGGCACTGGTCTAAGCCACTTTTCATGCATTAATTCTTTTAGTCCTCACAGCCCACGCTCGTTATCTTCATCATGGTACAGATGTGGCATCTGAGGGACAGAGGGTAAATCACTTGCCCAAGGTCATACAGCTGCAGGGGTCAACCCAGACCAAACCCAAAGTCTGTTCTAACAGTTGTTCTTCACGGCCAAGTTTTTGAGCCAAGAGCATATCGATTAAAACCTCAATCACTTCTCTTTTCCTCCTTGAAAAAAAGTGTCATTCATGAGCAATAAATAAAATTCTGAAACCTGACATAATTTTTGTTTAACCTGTTTTATATAACTTACTCCAAAGTTTTAGTACTGTTCTTTCATCTTAATTTCACAGAATTTCTCTTTTATCAAATAGCTTTGCAAGGCACTTGATCATAACTAAGGTGTTACATAATGAGTATTATGATTGACAGTAATGAAGAGGCTCTTTTCCTCCTCCAGACAGAATTTTACATTTACACGTGGTGTGCACCAAGGGCTTGTTCCCTGGCCACAAGCGAGACATACTGGTTGATGTTTTCAAAATTATTTTGGGATTTTAAGTTATTTGAAGGCTATCGTTGCTTCTAAACAGAACAGCACTCCCAGTGATCAATCAGGGAAAGGCCAACAGTAAGCTGGGGTGTGGATGGGGCAGAGGCCGGGTAGACGCGGGAAAGGGTACGGCCTTCGTCCTGTCACTGACTCACTGGGATTCTTGACACGTGGCTTTGCCTCTCAGGCCTGTCCCCATCTATAAAGTGACTAGGTTGAATTCAATGTCTTCTGAGGTCCTGTCCAAAACAAACTGTGGTTTTCACAATATAAAATATGATCTCTTACAGTGCCATCAGACAAGATCAGTTAATCAGAACAGAAAGCTAGCTCGGAAAATCCTGCAAGAGAAAGTGGATGTTTTCTACAATGGTGAAAACAGCCTTGTGTGCAAAGGAAAACAAGAGGCCCAGAAGAAAAAGCAAGAAAGGAAAAAAAGAGCAAAGGAAACCCTGGAAAAAAAGAAACTTCTGAAAGATCTCTGGGAATCAAGTAGAAATGTGCACTGAGAAAGAACTGCAGATTCTGACTAAAACACTGCCAGACGCTTTCAAGGAATAATGGTGGTGAGTTCCATCACCAGCGTTATTATAGAGCTGTCTTTGAAAGAAAGATTTTTGACAGACTTAAGACATCCAATTGTTTTAAATGGTGGTCAAACTGTCGTGAATAGAGATGCGCAGTTCAGGAATAAAACTATAACGCAGCACAAGGAAGCCACCACTTACAAGGGAGGAGGAAGGGGTGTCCTTGGGATGTGGCACTTGGAGGGGCCTCCGGGGTGGCTGACAGTACTCTTTCTTGACCTGGGCGGTAGTTAGCAGGATGTTGCCTTATTTTTTTTAAGCTATACATTTGTGTGATTGTATTTTGCTTTATTATCAAAGGTTAGAAATAAAAATTTTTTTTTAAAAAGTAGTCATGTGTCCCTTCACAATGGGGATACATTCTGAGGAACGCGTCTTTGGGCGATTTCGTCGTTGTGTGAACATCAGAGTGTTCTTAGACAAACCTAGATGGTACAGCCTACTGCACACCTAGGCTATGTGGTACTAATCTTATGAAACCACTGTTGTCTGTCATTGACTGAAATGTCTTACATGGCACAGGACTGTATTAATATTAATAAGGTCTATTTTTGTGGAGAACTGTAGAATTGAGTCAAACATTAATAGCATTTAGTGCGACCTTGTCATCTGCTAGGAGGTCGTTGCTCATTGATAACTTAGATGTCAGTTAGCTTAATGTCAGGTGAAGAGAATAAAAGAAAAACCAAGATGGCAAAAGATTTACAAGTTAGTAAGTTACTTGCCCATTTACCCCATTAGCTTAATAGACTGTTACCAGGTAACCTCCCTGATGTGGAAATACACACGTCACTCCGTGTATGTTGATTTACTAGTGGATTTATGAAAGATGAGGTTCCAGAAACTGCATTTGTTTGCAAATGTGCTCAATACCATCACTCATGCTGGATTTGACCTTACAATTGTTTGGGGTGTTTTAGGCATGGTTAATGGCTTGTTAGAACACATCATGCATAAAACGAGCGGGGGAAATATGATGAGGCGAGAAGGCCACTGTCAGACACAGGGCCCGCCTCACTTCTGCAGTCAAGACTGGTCCATTCAGCAGGCCCAGACTGGATGCCCAAAGCACCGGTCCAAATAAATTTACCATTAAGGCAGCCAGTTAAGGCTCTTCTCACCTTGACATGACCTGGTTTGGAAGCTTAAGTGTGTTCTATGTGAGGCTCTCTCGACCTCTGGCTATAGTGTGTAGACCCCTTCCCCGTTCCAACCTCCACTTGGAAGGTAGTCAAGTAAAGTAGATGGAATGGTATACAGAAACCAGGAAGAGGGGGAAGGGAAACTGGGAGCTGCAGACAGGAGGGACAGAGGCTTCAACGTCCGTCGCCTTTCTTGTACCCTTTTGAATTTCCTGTCATGTGCGGGAAGGAGATGCAGGCGAGCCCACTCCCTGGAACCCATTCCTACAGCCTTTACACTTACCACGGCTGGGACCTTGCCTCACGCCTCCCTTGTCCGAGTCTACCCCCAACCAAGGCGAAGCCTCCTTACATGGGGAGCAGTGCCTAAGGCTGAGATTAAAACTTCCCTCAGAATCTCTTTGGAAGGCACTGTGGAGACCACCACAGACTCACAGCACATCCAACACACCCACCCCAGTGTTTTCTCAGCACCAGAGCCGGTAATTCTTCCTGTGAGCACCAGATGAACTCAAGCTAGCTGGAGTTTAGTGGCCACATTGTATGAAAGTAGATTCCTGCAGCACCCAGGAAATGCTCACAGGATAAGCACCTACAAACCTAGAGGGTCCTAATTGCGGGGGTGGCGGTGGGGGGGGCAAAGTCAGCAACACTGCTTCCACTGTCTTGTTTTCTTTCCTGGCACGCACTTACGTGTGCTGCAGTTAAAACGCATCCGTGACGCAACTTCACTGTATCCCCACCTCCTGACTTAAGCAAACACATCTTTCCCCAGCGTATGGTGCCAATGACATCATCACACAAAAGGGCCAGTGGGAAAATACCCTTTGACAGGCTCTCCCAGCTCTCACTAAGGAGCTGTTTTTTAAAATACCACTTAGGAGGGGCCGGCCCCGTGGCTTAGTGGTTGGGTGCGCACGCTCCGCTACTGGCCGCCCGGGTTCGGATCCTGGGCGTGCACCGACACACCACTTCTCCGGCCATGCTGAGGTGGCATCCTACATACAGCAACTAGAAGGATGTGCAACTATGACATACAACTATCTGCTGGGGCTTTGGGGAGAAAAAGGAGGAGGACTGGCAATAGATGTTAGCTCACGGCTGATCTTCCTCGGGAAAAAAAAAAAAATACCACTTAGGAATTCAAGGAACCCACATCCTAATACAAATTGTTAATGAAAATAAGCTTTATTACATCAAGTAATAAATACATACAAAGATGCAAACAGTTCTAGTCATTTTCTTCCAGATATTTGGATCCACTTACAGGAAAGGCAGAACTGAAATCTACAGACAGTCTTAGTAGGGAAATGTTCAGGGTCCTTGTTAGGTTGGGTAGATGCTCTTTCTTCTGTATTTATAACTTGTGCATCTTTTAAATTGACTTCAAAGCACTAATAGTCATGCAAATGCTTAAGCAAAAAAGAAGTTACATTAAGCAGAATCGACACTGTATGGCAAACGGGGACCGTCCAGCTACTAAGAAAAGCGTGCTGTCAGTATGCACTAAAAACAAATCCCTTAGAGTTGTATGAGCTTGTGGAAAGGAACAGAGAACAATCTGGCTAACATAAATGTACTCAAGAGAAGACGAAAGCGAGACAGTGGTATCTTGGAGGCCAACAAGAGTTTGCTGTAAGATAGGTAACTTACGTGCATCTTTTGAACCAATGCTTAAAAAAAAAAAAAAAAAAACCTAGGTAGTTCCTAACTAAAATGTAAATCCTAGTCAACTGCAAAATCTTTTCTCAATCTTAAAGACCGTAGGTTCAGAGCCTGGTGAACCCTGGGAGGGGTTCGAGGAAGAGAAACCAAACTGTTACCATTTTGAAAACAAGAGTTTCATCTGAACAGGGGAGACGAACTGTAACTTCTTGTCTTGGAAGAAGATGGAAAACCTTCCACTCTAACAAGGTGGCTAGGATCTGGCATTCCGTTCCGTTTCAGCCAAGCACTCCCGAACCAGTCCTCTCGCGTGGATGATGCCTGGAAGGGAAGCAAGGGCTGGGAATCATCGGGCAGAAGCCATTGCAGAAGAGGAAGGGGGCCCTTTCACAACGAGCGTAAAAGCCTCACATTGGCAGGCACTTGGGACCTGCAGCCCAATGCCCCAGGTATGCAAGCGGTTTGCAAAGGCTCTAATGTCCCATCCCACCCCTCAAAGCCCCTCCCTCCCAGCCAACACTGCTCTTCATGCCTCCCTAAAAATGTCCTCCTGCACTCAAGGTGACAGCCAGCAAGCTCTCTCTCCATGACACGCTGTTAGATGACGGGAGTGAATGTGTTTGCACCCAATTCTTCAAGCCTGACCCATTTTGGAGACCCCACGCCTTCAAATCATTACTGTTTTCTGGCCTCTTCATATTCTCAACTCCAGAAAGGGCTTGACGAATGTCAGGCGGCCTGCAAGTGGTGGGGTGCAGGACGACTCCTGCTCGTTTGCGTTCAACTTTTAGTCCACCATGGCATCCTACTCCCGGGTCTCTGAGCCACCTTCTGCCCTACTGCTCTCCCCCATCTGTTATCTCTATGGTTTGGGGGTTATCTTTTGGTTTTGTTTTTTTTTGCTTTTACTGAACTTCTTGAAATATTGATCTCATTGTAATAGACGCCAAGAGTCTATTCCTAGTAAGAGCTGACTCCCAGATGGCATTGGGAATGACGTCCCCAAGTCACCTAGGCGTCCACACCTCACACATCTCACCTCTCAGAGCTTCAGAAGACTTTTTTCATAAAGGGCCAGATAGCAGTATTTTAGGCCTTGTGGGCCACACAGTCTCTGTCACAACTACTCAGTTCTGCCATTGAATCATGAAAGCAGCCATAGACATTACATAAGCAACGGGTGTGGCCATATTCCAACAAATCTTTTATGGACACTGAAGTTTGAATTTCATGTAATTTTCACATGTCCCCAAATCATATTTTTTCACCACTAAAAACTGTAAAAACCATTCCTGGCTCATCAGCTGTAGTTTGCCGACCTATCCACAATGTGCCCGATGCCCTCATGCCCCTGTGACCCCTTTTCACCCTGCTATGACGTAAACTTGGCTAGCCCGGGCTCGGCTATTGGTCAGGGTGACTGGGGGACCAGCTGCTCGCCCAGGATATGCCCCGGAGCAGTCACTAGGTTATGTCCACGTGTTGACTTCAACCACCGGCTTGTTTGGGTGGCTGCAGACCACCTTTTAGACTCTGGGGTCCAGCATCTTCCCAGGGATTTCCATTTGGGTAACCAGTCTCCAGTTGCCAGGACTCTTGCTTTGTCTGACTCTAGCTGTGCTGACAGCACAGCAATGCCCCCGACCCACTAGGTTGGATTGGGGATGAGCTCCATGTCTCCCCCACGCCCTCTTTGGTTCCAGACTCTAACTGCCAGTCCCTCCCCACGCCTGGGCCTGTTCTCACCCAACCCTGCCTCGCAGGCAGTCTCTTCACAAAGGCTTCATAAACACTAGGGAAGCCCACTGCTTTCCATGGGAGCCTGTCCCAGCCAGCTGGCCTATCGCTGTGGAGTCACGGCCTCGACAGCAGGCCCCCTGATGCCCCAGATTTATAGCCAAAGAATGTTCTTCTCTTGTTTTTCTCCAAAGTTGCTTCTCTAACCTTCTGAAGAATCCCTAAATCCCTCCTGCAATTAGATTCGCACACAGGCCACTGCTGCTCTGAACTGCCACCTTCTAAAATAGAACTCCTTTCTTCCCTCCACTGCCCTTCCCTCACTTCATGAGGTAGCAGCCTATTTCCCTTCCCTCTGAAGTCAGCTGGTCGGTCACATCTGCACGTGAGTCACTTCTTCTCTGTGGCATCCTCCTCCCGCCCTCCCTCCCTCCCTCTTCAACCATGAAAGAACTTCAAAGGGTTCCCTCTCCCTCCCCAGATTAGGACAGACCCACTCGCCCACTCGGAGGGCGACGCAGGACCCCGTGACCCCGTGTCCCTGGCCTCACCCGGAGGAGGGAGCCTGCTGTATTTGGTCTCCACGGCTCCCTGGGACCAGTGTCGGTCAGCAGGAGCCGGGCAGACAAGAGACAGAGCCGCGGGATCCGGCTACCGAGTCCTTGTAAAGCCGTGGACCCCAGGAAGCGCGCAGGGCGAGGAAAGCGCACTGGCTGGGGCTGCCCTTCTCAGAAGCCCCACCTGAAGACAACTGGCCGCTAGGCCCCTTCCCATCAGATCCCAAGGACAGCCTGCATCCCACAGACCCGCTCACCCCTGCCTGACGCCTCCACATCCCATAGTAATTCTGTGACAAAACAGGAGCCCCTGTGGCGTAGGGGACTCTGCCCTCCCCCGCCCTCCAACGTTTTCCCCAGAAAATCTTTCAAAACAGTTAAAGGGCCAGTGCTTTGGGGTCACCCAGCAGTGAGGCGGCCCCTGTCAGGGAGTCGGGGCCCCCGACGTACCTCGTTTTAGTCTCTCCATGGCGCTCTTGCTCCCTGCGTAGGTGGGTCTGATCTCTTTCCCCAACTCTTCAATGATGGCCAGCAGCTCAGCATATTTGCTTTGGGGCACCTGGCTATTCCCTGTTCCCTAGAATCAGAAAGAAAAGGGTTCAGATGAACTGAACCCTAACCTGACCCCAACACCACGGTCAGGACCCCACCACGTGCCAGCCACAGCGAGGGCAGGGGTGGGGAGAGGCCCGAGCCCGGGGCAGGTGGTGGAGGGACGGCAGTCTGGCCCAGACTCCAGAGCTGCTGCCTCTGCTGGGGCCAGGCACGTCCCCTCTGAGGGACCCCTACCGACCAGCAGGGCAGCCCTCTCTGCTGTCCTCGCACACTCAAGGAAACCACCCCAGTCCCACAAAGCTCCTTCATCATCTCAAATTAAAAAACAGACTGGCTCGTCTCGACAAGGAAGGGTTCACTGAGAATTTCCTGAGACACGGATGGATGGATGAGCAAGGACATCCCAGGGGCTGAGGGTCCAGAGCAAGTGGACGTGATGGAGGCCACACCTGGGGTCAGCAGGACTACAAATATCGCCAAAGACCATCGGACGGAGCCCAGAATGTGCTTATTTATATTTTATTTTTTTTGGTGAGGAAGATCAGCCCTGAGCTAACATCTGTTGCCAATCCTCCTCTTTTTGCTGAGGAAGATTGGCCCTGGGCTAACATCTGCACCCATCTTCCTCTACTTTATATGTGGGAAGCCACCACAGCATGGCTCGATAAGCAGTGTATAGGTCCGTGCCTGGGATCCAAACCTGTGAACCCCAGGCCGCCAAAGCAAAGCATGTGAACTTAACCACTACACCACCGGGCAGGCCCCCCAGAATGTGTTTAAATTCACCCATCCTCCCCCAGGGGTAGGGCCCACCCCACAGAAACCCTTTTTCTCCAGACCCCCACCAACAGCCCCAAGCAGGCACCCAGATCAAGGAGGCTGGGTTCCCAGTGGCCTGTGGGCCAAGGCCACCTGCTCGGGCCTCTCTTCCTCCTCCTCCTCCTCCTCCAGCTACATCAGGGCGGCCGTTTCCCTCCAGAGGCCCTCGCCTGCTCCTCCCTCCTTCTCCGCCGCCTCTGTGTCTTGGCCCCCTGGTCCGTCCTCCTCTCCTTGGCCAGCTCCTCAGCATCCTCCCAGCGCCTCCTCTTGGCCTCCCGGTCCTGCCTCCTCTCCAGGCTGCGCCTCCCCCTGTCCTCCCACCGCCGCCGCCGCTTCTTCAGGCGGTCCCACTCCCGGGCCCGCTCCTGCCTCTCCTCCCAGGACAGAACGGCCTGGCGGGGCATGGCCAGGGAGCCACCACCTCACCCTGAGCGACAGCCCCATGGTGACCTCAGAACGTGGCCGAGTTCCAGCCACGGGAGAGAATCTTGTGGCTGATGCATGGCACCCAGGGCTGCGCCGGGCCAGGTCCCTCCCCATGGCAGCAGTTCCCTGGCCGGTGCCGGCCGTGGCTGAAGCTATGGCTTACTCCACTGACGTGCCTACCAACCCAGGGAAGCTGGTACGAGTGTTAACCCCACTTGACTGTAGGAAACTGAGTCTCAGTGAGGTTGCCAAGTGGGGGTCACAGTCTCGTAAGTGGTGGCACCAAGTGTAAACCCAAGTGGCCTCACTCAGGGACCACCAGCTCTCCATGAAACGCATCTGGACTCCATGAGGAGACAGGCCCCAACCTCCTCTTTTCTGGGGCCAGACTTTGTGGGGACTGATGGGAATGGGGTCCCCCCTCCTCTGTCAAGCCCAGATCTAGAGTCAAAGTCAGGGTCTACCTTCCCAGGAATCAGGCACGAGGAGACCCACCAGGGATACACATCAGGTGGTGGCCTCAACAGGAACTGTGGCTCTCAGGGCTTTAGGCCTTCCCTGGGCTCTCCCACCCCTCCCATCTCTCATGTCCACCTCTCTGTTCTGATGCCAAGGCCTTGGGTTGAGGAGGCCCACATGACTGCTCCACTCTGTCATTTCTACTCCTCATCTCTTCCACCCACTCCCCTCCCCAGACGATGGGGAGCGTGTCCCCTCAGTGCCCAGGCCACCCCAGAGCCCCTCCCACCATGCATCAGCCCTGCTGCCATACCTGGGTGTAGCCTAGAGATGGTGGCCCATAGTCACTCAACAGCTGGCGGTACTGTGAGGATGTTGCCATACTAGTGGAGGGCGGGTGGACGCTCCCAGCTATGGGGAAGGAGAGAAGAGTCAGGAATCACAATCAGGTAGCCTTGGCTAGTGGTACCCAAAGTGAGGACTCTGGGTCCTGCAACAGTCCCTCTGCCCAGGACCCATGCCATCAACAGTGGTCTTTTCACAGGATAGAGAACCGCTCCTGTCCTCTAGTTTGGTCATGGCTGACACTCAGCCTAGATGATTGATAATAAAACGTAGCTAACAGGCCACTGCTCTTCACACCCACCACCACAGCAGACATCGCTAATCAATCACAGAACTCCTTCCCATCCATGCAGTCAGGATTGGTACCAAGGATGAAATTTGCTGCTATTCTCAGCCTAATCCTTGCTAGTACCCTTTCCCTGGGTTCTGCTCCCCAGAGGTTAATAACCTAGAGTCACATCGCTGTCACAAGAGCCCACCTGCTACTGAGGCTGGTCCACACTGGGGCTAGGAGGTCCTGTGTGCCCAAATGTCTGCTGGATTATATGGTGAGGAAAACAGGGGGAGGGTTTGGAAGATCTGAGACCCAACCCTGGCTGGAGACAGTGCACTGGACTCAAAGTCAGGAATCTGGGGTATATCACAGCCTCCCTGTGTGTCCTCAGACAAGCCCCTCAACCTCTCTGAGCCCACTGCCTCCTCCTCAAAGAGGGGACAGGACTCTTGACAGTCTGATTCTATGCCTGGATGGCTCGCACCCCAAAAGAGGAGGGGTAAGGCCCCGCTTACGGACTGCAACACTCAGAGACTGTCCCTCAGCAGTGAGGGACTATGTGGGGCCAGGGCCCGGCTCAGAATGGAATCTCCTGGATGGGGATGGGAAGGTCCTCAGCAGGGAATTTTCTGGCTCCAGCTCAGTAGCTGGAAGCACGCAGACCCATAATGGCGCCCGGGTGGCCATTAGCGGGTAAAGGATGTCCTGCAGAATTACAAACAGCAGTAACCATGGAGAATTTACCTAGCCCTCCTCGGCAGCTGCCCGCCTGCCTCCACGCCCGGCCGAGGAGTAGCTCCCCCTCTGCCTGCCTCCCCCAGAGCCAAACGGTCTCTCTCGCACGCACACAGCAGGCTGTGCAGACTTGGCCCTGGGGATGGACAGCTGGTGCCAAGATGGCCAAAGCGACCAGCTGCCCATCTGGTGTGGGCAAGGGGAGGGGCAGGGGAGGAAGGAAGTTCAGGAGCTCAAGCAGATGGAGCTGGAAGGGGCCCTAGAGGGCCCTGGAGCCCCTCCCTGTAGAGAAACACAGACCAGTGAGGGTAGGCGTTGCCCCAGGCCACACAGCACAGGAGAGGCCAACACCCCAACGCCCGCCCCTCTGTCTGGGAGCTGGGGACAGCTTGGTACCCAAGACGTCTTCCTCCGTCACAGCCCTGCCCTGGATCTCCCCACAGGGGCCTAGGTTTATGCTCAAGCACGGGACACCCAGTCAGGAAACACAGAATTCTGCCACCTCTAGGCTGGGAACTGGGCACATCACTGTGCTGCCCGGAGCCTCAGCTGCCATCCGCCTGCGCTGCTGGAACGTGCTGCTCAGGACAGGGACACACTGTGAGCATGTCTGCGACCTCCGTCCAAGGCAGCCGCGGGTGCACAGGGGCCAGAGCAGAGGGATGGGGCAGGGTGGGTGTCCCCCCACGCTCCCCTCCACATCAGCCAAACCCCAATTTCCTGAACATTCTGATGTGGGCAGTGAGCGTGGTCTGGGTCGCTCAGGCTTCGCAGCCCCAGACCTGGGTTCCAATCCTGACCACAGCAAGTTATTGCACCCCTTTGGGAGGCCAGGATGCTAAATGGAGACTGGGGGGGTGGGGGCATGTATCACTGCACTGCACTTCACTGTGTCTGGAAGATTCCACTCCCTGGCAGGAGGTGAGTCCTCCTCCTCTGGTTGCTCTCTTTACTGAGTTCCCGCCTCCCTGACCCGTCTCCTCTCCTATGGGCACGGGCCTGGACTAGGGGCTGGTCTGGCTGAGCCTGACACACCTGGCTGTGAGACCTTAGACAAGGCCCTTCCCTCTCTGGGCCTCAGTTTCTCCATCTGTTTGAGGCAACGTTCCCAGCAGAATGCCCAAAGGCTCCAGATCCTGCTCTTACATGGTGCTGGGGTTAGGTCTTGGGGGGCTAAGGGAGAGGGTCGAGGAATGAGAAATCGCCTGGTTTGGGGTGGGGGAGGAGCTGGGCAACAGCTCAGGCACCTGGGTGACGTGGTGGGAGACCCCGGTTCTGTGCCAGTGCCCATCCATTACTCTGTGTTGAGAGGGGGGTGTCTGTGGTCCTGGAGAGAGTTGGCAGAAGGGCCCCGAGTTCCACTCATGCCCACTCCTTCCTGCAGGCACAGGGAGGGCCAGCGGGTCGGGCTGCAGGAGGCCAGGGAGAAAGCCAGACTGGGTGTGAGCATGGCCTTCTTGGAGCATCGCAGACAATGCGTGCAGTGTGCGGGGACCAGGGAGGGCCTGGAGCCGAGGGAGGGATTGGCAGAGGCCAGCAGCTCCTGGGGCCAGGCGCAGCTCCCCGCCCCCACGCCAGACAAAGAGCGGCCTGGGCCTGGGGAGCTGGCGGCCTTCCCGCCACTTGGGGCGCCTGGGGGGGCGCTCTCCGGCAGGGAGGCGGGGGCTTTGTCTAACTCAGCCACTGCCACCGCCGGCCAGGCCGCGGCTTGGCAACCCGTGAGCAGGAGGCAGGGCTGGAAGGCGTGAGGGATGATGACAAGGAAGCCAGAGGAGCGGCTGCGGAGAGTCCATCTTGGATGCAAATGGCAGGGGGAGATCAGGGCTTCCTAAAGGGGTCCACGGGGAGGGGGCAAGACCCCCCCAAAAAAACACCAGAGATCTGGGGACCTCAGCACTGCTCCTGGAATTCACCACAGGAGAAAGAAGAAAACCTGTGTACAGGTGCTAGCCAGACCAGAACAGGGCTTCAGGGGTTCTGAGTGGGTGCCCCTGTCACTCTGTGACCCCAATCCCCAAAGGTCCCAGTTTAGGGCCCTTGCCCCAACTATACCAGGGCAGGCCTGCGAGTTCCCCTCTGTCCAGGCAGGCAGCCAGACCTCCACCCCTCCCACCTCAGAGACAGATGCAGGAGGCATCGAGAATCCTACCTGGCCACAAAGCCTGTCTTGGTGAGGTCTGCAGACCCCAGAGGAGGTGGGGACAGCAGAGAAAACAGTGGCTGTTTGCTCTTGGGGTTCAGAGCCCACATCTGACCAATTCAACTATCCCCCCATCCGCACCCTGAATCTTAACCCTTCCAATCCCCAAATCTGTGTCCAAGAAGTTAAAAAATATATATATGTGTGTGTGTGTGTGTATCTATATACACACACACACACACACATATACATATGGTTTTCTGGGTCCCTCTTCAGATTTTTGGAGTTACGGAGTCAACGTTTGGAGACAAGGCCCCAAACTTGCGGCCAACTGCCAACGTGGCATTTCTGACCAACAAGGCCAATCCCCTCCCCAAGGCCTCTGCCCCCCCACCCCCAACGCGCCTCACTTTTTTGCAAGTCTGTTTCCAACCAAGTGTCTAAAGGAGAAGGACCCTGGTGAGCAGACAAAGCCGGTTACCCCTGAACTCCACGATTTTACCTCCCCGTCCCCATGTCTCCCTCGGTCCCTGGGGCAAGCCCCTGGGCACAGCCTGAAGCTGCCGAGCAACTTTTGAAGGAGTTTCCGGAGACCGCCCCGCTCCAGCCCCGAGGGGAGAGGATGGCCCCCCGGCTTCTGCAGGAGGGGGCCTTCTAGGTCCAGACTGGGGGCTCCGCGATGCGGGGCCCGGGCTGAAGTGCAGCCCCCATTCACCTCCCGCAGGCACTCAGAAGCCCCCGGTCTTCTCCAACTTCTTTCACTCCGCGCACGCCTGCGGGGTCCTCCCTTGTGCCCTGTTCTGGGAGTCCCGCTCCCGCGCGCCAGGCCGAGCCCCACGGACGAGCCAGTGCCCTGCACCGCCGGTGACCCCAGCCACCCCGCGCCCTCAGGAACCGCTGCACCTGGCACGCCGCCGCCCCCCAGCCCTGCCTACGCGTGCCCTGGTCCTGCACACGTGCACCCCTGCAGCCGGCCCCCCGCCGGGCCTGTCCCCCGCGCCCCAAGGGCAGCCCGAGCCCCGAGCCCCGCGCCCCGTGCCCTGCTCCCGGCGCGGCCCGGCTGCTCCCCACTCCCGCCGGCAGGGGCCCTCGCCGAGCCGCCCAAAAGCCGGAGGAAAAAGGAGCAGAGAAAAGCCTCCCCCGCCCTCGCCCGCCGCGCTCC